ATAAGAAAAACATCCTTGAAATTTGGAAGTACGGTGCCTAGTTATGTTGAATGAGTTAATTCTCAAATTGACCATATGTATGTCAGAATGCCTGCTCAATAAACTATTGGATTCTGTACCTCACATTCAGCTCCTTCGTTTTTAACTAAAATGGTGTGACATGTTCACCATATATGGTATACAGCATACGAATCGCATGCAAGCATTTTGTATAAGTTGTAACTTTTGCTTGTTATATTGCGGCAAAAAGTTGTAATACACCGAATAACAATACCTGAATTTCATCTCTTCTAATAACTGATACTTGAATTTATATTTTGAGTTTGAAGAATGATACTTTGAAAATGTTTGTCACATGTTCATGGAAAGTGCTATCTATGGTAAAATTTTTAGCACTGCCTACCCAATCAATGTTTGCGTTATAGAGAGTGAGCCTAAAGTTACACCGAGTTTCTACTATTTGTCTTTGAGATTCTTTGCATAAGGCCAAAGTTTTATATGGATGGATTTTCAGTCCATGATTCTTCGAGTATAGGAATGTTTTGTGCAAATCTGTGTTTATATTGGCCACGCAACTTTCTGTATCGGTGTTATGAGAAGACAAATATAACTGTATATCATCTGCGAATAGATGTACCTGAGAATGTGATAAGAAAGTGGGGTAATCAAAAATAAACACTGAAAACATCAAGGGTCCTAAAATACTTTCCTGCGGTACACCTGAGATTGTTTCTTTTAGGGATGGCCATGAGTAATCATCCAGTTTGACCCCTCTGAGTTTGACTTGTGAGATAGCTGGTCATCCATTTAAGAGAAATGTCATCGAATCCAATGAACTTGAGCTTGCTGATGAGTAAATCGAAATTAACTAAATCGAAAGCTGTACAATAACGTTGTTGTGTCTGTACTAAATAAAATAGTAACGATTTTGGGTCACATCCAAACCTCACATGAGAACGATTATACTTTAAATTTTCATATTAACACATGTTTTCAGGAATGGATCCAGCTACGAAACGTTACCTATGGAATGCTCTCTGCAAAATTCGTGATAATGGCAAATGCATAATTCTAACTTCGCACAGTATGGAAGAATGTGAAGCTTTATGTACACGACTTGCTATAATGGTTAATGGTAACTTCCAATGTCTGGGATCCACACAACATTTGAAGAACAAATTTGCGGAAGGTTATACTTTGACACCTATCGAGGAGAGTCGATACCAATTTAGACTTCGCTCGATAGGAGCCAAGGGCTACCAACGCCGCTTGACTGTCCAAAAATATTTTCATTGACTTGTGTGTGAGGTTGGATTTATCCAATCTCTCCGCACACTCTCTCAGTAGCCTAAACTTTCGCTTGAAATACAGTCGCATAAGTTCTTAGGCAGGTAGATATCTCTGCCCTGGGTCTGCGACTGAAAACACCTGCACCAGAACCGGAAGCTGTTCTTGATCCATCTGTGAACCAACAACTATCTGCTCTTAATATTTCCTCCTCCTGGAAGATCCAGTCCTCTCTACTCGGGAATAGTACTTTATAAGGCAGTTCGTAGTTGATAGTTAGAGGCATATAGTCTGTTGCACTCTGCAATAAATTGATTTGTGCAATTGGCAATGTGCACAAGTCTGTATGCAGTTCATCTAGCCTCTCTCTTCAGAAAAATATGGAGAGGAGGTAGATCTAGAAGGATCTCTATGGCCGCTGACGTTGGCACCACTGATAGCCAGACAAGCCTATCTCTGTAAGCCAGAGAGCTTCGCTTGGGCCGTTTTCTGTGAAGATTTCGGCCACCAGGCAATTGCACCATGGGTGATCATTGGTCTGACAATAATCACATAAATCCAGTGGATTTGTTTGGGACCTCAACTCCAAGTTTCACCACAAATCCTTTGACTTGTCCATATAGACAGTCTGGCTTTGTGTAAAACCTCCGTTTCGAATGGAATGACCTCACCATTGAGGAAAAGTGGCGTTAGATCGTCCAGTTTTCTCCTCTCGGTGAAGGGAATTAACACAGTTTTGCTGGGGTTGATAGACATCTGTTTCCTCAGGCACCAACTGTGAACAATGTCCAACGCGCTTTGGAGGATATTACAAGCTACCCTTCCCGACGTGGACCTTGCCAGGATGACAAGTTCATCTGTATAAGCTTGCAGATCAACTTTTCTTCTGTCGGGGGCATCAAGCAGACTATCCACCAGGAGCGACCACAGAAGGGGAGATAGTACCCCACCTTAAGGGCAGCCCCTGGTGACCCTGAACCTAGTGGCAGTTCTGTTTACTAGCATGGCATAGATCCAGACAGTATGGTCGATTCTATACCCTTCCTAGACAGAGAAAATCTCATAGAATTAGGTAGTACATTGTCAAATGCTCCTTCGATATCAAGAAATACAGTAACCGCAATCTCCTTGTCGGGATCGAGAGATTTTCTCTACGAGGTTGTTTAATGCCAAATCTGTCGATTTGCTGGTTTGATAAGCATACTGGTGGTAATTCAGGGGGGTGCATACATATAATGCTACCCTCCTGATGTGGCTGTCCAGAATCCTCTCAATTCCTCTCAACAGGATGGATGTAAGGCTGATTGGTCGTACCGATTTAAGGTGTCAGTCTCTCCGACCCACTTCAGGTATATATATCACCCTTCTGCCAACCAACTGGGCGGTATATAGTTCCACGCCAGACTAGCTCTATACAATTTTGTGAAAATAGGTAAAATTGTTTCCAGTCCGTTTTGAAGAAGACCTAGAAATATACCATCCTCTCCGAGAGATTTGAAGGGTTGAATAGACTTGATAGCCCATTCAACTGCCGGTGCTGTGATAACCTTCTTTGCAACGTCTCGTTTTTTGGGCGTTTAGCGCCTTCGAAGATGGGAGGTCTGTTGTTACCAAGAGTCAGATTTCCAGGAAAGTGGTTTTCTATCAAAAGCTCTAACGTTCCTTCACAAGAGGTCGTGAATGTTCCATCGGGTCGTTTGAGCGACCCAATTTCAGCAGTCGGCTCTCTAGAGAGAATCTATTGAATTCTTGTGCTGTGAGGTAAATCAGAGCTACTCTCACAAAACTTCCTCCAAGACTTGAGGAGAAAATTCTTTTGTGAATTCTATGATCATGTTAACACCTTCTTAGTTTTGAAGATATTGAGTGTTGAAAGTCAGAATGAAACATAAGATACACAGTTCCTCTGATCATTAGATATTTTAACTCCTAAATGAAATATTAATTTCTTCCCAAATTGTGAGTGATATGATTTAACTAGTAGTTTATTTGCTTTTCTTGTATTATAATCATGGATGGTATTTATTTGAATGAAATCCAAATTCGAATGTTCGTTATTTCTTCTAACACAATGAATGAAACAACAAATTTTCAAATATAAAATGGACGGAATATCTGAAAGATCACGTGGTATATATAAATTTAACGTAACTTCAAGATAAGGTAATTTGAATATACATTTTTTATTTTATTTTGCAGACTCTTTAGGGGGATTTATTATTGATAAATCAGATTGAAATTGAATATTGTAGAATTTTAGTTCATAATATCATAACCTTTATCATTTTCCATTCAATTTCTGACTCAAGACATGGAATATAAATAATGAATATGATCAACATCTAATCGGCACGGTTCACTTGAAAGGGCTTCACAAACCTCATTCATCAAAAAAGTATTCATTTGAAAATATTATTTCATTTTTTGGAATGAAAGTTTGTTCTATTGTGATATTTCATTTGATATGTGTATTTCAGGTGTTCCTAACATTCACCAGAAACCAGAACGAAATGACATAAAATGCGTGCCTCACTTTCTATATAAGGATTGAACTGGATTTCCACCTAGTGTATGTCAATAATGGAGCTATAGTACAAATCAGCCCAATGAAACTCCCACGAAAATCAGTATTATTCTCAGTCCACATCTGGTTTAATTACCTGAGACACAATCTTCATATGAACGTTAATAATCTCTAACTGCCAGCGTTTTTTCCTGAAACAATTTAGTATTATTTCATGCCAAGTCCCTATAAATAAACTTCGTTTTTTTGATTGGTGTAGATCCAGCTCCGTAAAATAATTATTGTGATACACTTTTAAAATATAATAAGTAGCATAAGTTTTTAAAAATTGAAATGTTTCATTCACTCTCAGAACAGACCTTTTGGTTTGCATAATTCTTTTTTGAGATTTGCACAAATAATTGATTATTATGATGAATAGAATACAATGAATTTTCCTATTCGTTTATTTGGAACGAAAGAGGGAGTCTTGATTGTCAAATTATCCTCAAGTAACATCAGTCTTTTATCATGATGTGAGAATAGTTTTGCATTTATCAAATTATTGGGAAAACAATTCAAGTAGGTATTGGAAAAATGAAAATATTCAGACGGATCAGAAAAATTGTGAGTATGCAGTAAAACTCATGTCTTACTCTTTATAGACATTGAATAAATATGTTACCAAACATAAAACATTAATTTCAATTTTTTCTATTTGAAAATTAAAAATAAACTTTTACAATTTGAATATAAACATAGAGTTGAATTGTTTTTTGTACCTCTTCTTTAAATTACAGATGATCAATATTATGTAACCCCATATTTGCGTGAATAATTGTGAATAAAATGCTAGTATTGATTTTTTTTTCATTCAATAATGTGATATTTCTTTATTATTTCACCTGCGTCATATTTCTTTCAAGTTATTTCCATATCATTTTCTATTGTGTTTTGCAATGACTCATTTCTTTCGCACTCTCATGAATTTTCATTCACATTTGAATCAGTGATTTTGATTTTGTTTCTCTATATATCATTCCGATTTTCATTATTTTTGACAACTGATGAAAAGATTCCACTTGTTCAACTGATGACCTATTTATTTCGTAGAAATTCTTATTGAGTATAGGATGAAGGAAATCATTTTTGTCTGATTTCCACTGAGTTTTTTATTTGTTATAAAATGAGGACATTGTGAATACAGCAACGTATCACACAATATTATTTCATAACCATTTCTCGCGCAAAATGAAAAGTGATTACTTAACCTGCTTTTCTTCAATTTTAAGTATGCCCTGGAAAAAATGTCATATTTTGATACATGAAGTGAATTGATTAGTCGTATTCATAATAAAATTCAGCCTACCATTTGCCGGAGTTTTTTCGTTGTTGAATACAAAGATGAGTCGCAATATCAAAAGTTTAGTTTATAAAATGTAATTGTAATGGAATAACTAAGAGCTAATATGTATTATAGGAAATGAACAGAAACTTATGACAAGTGTTCAAATAACCCGCCGTTGTTTTCTAAGCACAAGTACGCTCGTCTCACAGTAGAATTTTAAACTTGAGTTAACATATTCGGAACAATATTGTTAAAGGATGCAGTAACCAATATTAGCAAATCTTCTTCATTTTGAAAAGTATGAGAGTACACTTGATTCTTGATATATACCCAAAGGAAAAAGTATGGTGGGGTTAGGTCGGGGGACCTTGCAGGCCAGAATGTATCACTATGAGGGCCAATTCACTGTCTTGGTAAGCGACGGTTCGAATAATCACAAATAATTCCAGCGTTATGTGCTGGATCACCATCTTGTTGAAACCAGCATCTGTGGGTAACTGCTAAAAGCGAATTATCTAGAGCGTCTTCCAAATCATTTACTGACAAATTTATGTATCGCTCTTTTGTTAAACTGTTTTGCTAGATAAAAGGCCCAATTACATTCGTACCGAGAAATTTATGAATTTTAAATTAAGAATTAAACGTCTAAATATTGATTTACCAAGTTGTCGCCTCTCTGAATACTTATTGAGTACGCACGTTTGGTATCAACACAATTTCTTTGGTACAAAATGTAATATTACAACATATCAAATTTTTCAGTATTCGAAAAGCTACCGTTTTCCATTTTCAACACAATTTAGGTAGGTAACGAGATGTAAAAGTAGGAACGGTAATATGTCAAAAATTCTACTAAACAACAGTATTATTATG